GCCCCAGGCCTTTTAAAACAATTTTTGAGACAGAGTCTTGCTGAATAGCACAGGCTGGGCTCCAACTTTCGATCCTCCTGCCTCAGCCTCCCAGAGAGCTGAGATTACAGGTGTATGACACCTGCCCCAGCTAAAACTCATTTTTACAAATGAGATGTGAGAATGTCCTAGATACACTCCTGTTTTGTGGTCTCTGGGAACTCAGGATTTCACAAAAGCGCTCAAATCCCTTAACCTCAAAGTCTCTGGCCCCTGGGCTAGGGTGGCACTGGGCTGCATATCTGTGTGCACATCTGTCTGCCCTCCAGTGGCTTCATCCAGGGAGCCGATGTCCTGCACAGACGGCTCATGTGGCATGACCAGAGAGGGGGGTCCAGAACAAGAAACGAGTCTTCTGTACAGAGTGACAGAGAAGGATGTCGCCGACAGCATAGCCACCACAATCCCACGAGGCCCGGGGTGTGAGCTGCCATGGCATAGGAGCCACACTCTGGTGACCTCCAGACCCAGCCACCAGGCTTGTAGACAACGAGGAGCCATCAGAGGACGTGGAGCCTCAGAGTGTTATTAAAGCTATTTTTGGAAAATAACTGGCTGAAGAAGAGAGAGGTGTCGCAATCCTGGGGAGAGAGGTGAGAGGGCTTGAGCTTGGCACTCACTGTGTGGGTGGGAGGCACTGGCCTGGAGTATCCAGGCAGAGGCTGATGAGGGGTTGGGGTGATGGCGAGGGAGGGGCTGGAGGTTTATAGATGGGGGATTAGGAGAAAGGCACTGTCACAGAGGGGAGAGGCAGGCAGGGAATGCAGAGGAAGAACAGGTTTGGGTGGAGGCCGGGGTTGTGAACAGCCCAGGTCCTGAGACTTTTGGCCGCCGTCCTTCGTCTGTCACCGGGTTGAGCGTTTTGGAGGGCAGCGCCGTGAGTCGGAGAAGCCCACACTCTGGCTCCGCGGCTTCACGGGTGACCCCGGGCCATGAGTGACCCCTCCAGGTCTCAGCGTCCTCCCTTGTGAAAGGCAGCAGCCACACTGTGGGACGCTGACAGGCACTCGCATGTAGGGGTGGAGGATGGGGCACTCACTCCAGGCACCAGACTGATGCTGGGGATCGAATCTGGGCCTTCGCTCTGAGCTACATTCCCAGCCCTTTTTGTATTTTTTGTTTTGAGATGAGGTCTTGCTAAGTCACCCAGGCTGGGCTTCAAGTTGCAGCTCTCCTGCCTCAGCCTCCCAGAGTGCTGGGACTGCAGGAGAGCTTCGTCTTACTATTATTATTACTATTATTATTATTATTATTGTTATTATTATTTTGGTGTGCTGGAGATTGAATTCAGGACCTTGCACATGGTAGGCAATGGCTTTGTCACCTGCGGCAAAAGTGACCCCCAGTTTTCCCCTTCTGTCTTAAAAGTACTTCAATTTGATTCAAAACCAACATTTGGAAGACAGAGACCTGAATCCATGCGTTAACGAGTAAAGCCTGTGCTGCAGAAATTGCTGAGGTGGACAGAGTCTTGCTGTTTTCCTTCTTTGTACCTGCGCACCTGCAGGTACAAAGGCTCTCCAAGAAGCGCAGAAAGGCTCTGCCACAAGGCCTGGTGTGGAGCCAGGCCACGGGACGTGCATACGTGGACTGCACCGAATGGCACAAGTACCATGTGCTGATCCTGGGGTGGTGCCACACACCTGGAAACCCAGCACTTGGGGAGGCTGAGACAGGAGGATCACAAGTTTAAGACCAGCAATTAAGGAATTTACTGAGACCCTGTCTTAAAATTAAAAGTAAAGGGCTGGGGATTTAGCTCAGTGGTTTTGCTGCCTGCTGCGCAAGCGCAAGGACCTGAGTTTGATCCTCGGTACCAAAAAAAAAAAAATTAAAAATAGGGGTTGGGGATACACCTCAGGGCAAGGTCTTGGGTTCAATCGCCAGTAGCTAAAAGAAAATAAAGAAAGAAAGAACTCCCCAAATTTAAAGACTCAAATCATAAATGGGCATCTGAAATGAACAGACATTTCCCAGACAGGCAAAAGCAGCAAATAAACATATAAAAAAATGTTCAACATCATTGGTCATTGGAGAGATGCAGATGAAAACAACATTGAGATTCCATCTCACCCCAGAAAGAATGGCTGCTATTAAGAAATCATCCAATAACCAATGCTGTCGGGGGTGTGGGGAGAAAGGAACCCT